TGAGTAATCCCGGCATCTTCTTTCGTCTCTTTTACATTTTGGGTTTCTCCTTAAGGTTTTTACTTTTTAGGAAGGGCCTTGCAGATACCAACAAAATACACCACATACACACACAACCTTGAAAAATACTCTGCGAACGGGTGCGGTGGCTCACGCCTGCAATCTCAGCACTTTGAAAGGCTGAGGCCGGTAGATCACTTGAGGTCAGGAGTTGAAGACCAGCCTGACCAACATGGGGAAACCCCATCTCTACTAAAAATAAATAAATAAATATATATCTATATACAAAATTTAGCTGGGCGTGGTGGCGTGCCCCTGTAATCCCAACTACTCTGGAGGCTGAGGCACGAGAATCACTTGAACCCGGGAGGCGGAGGTTGCAGTGAGCCAAGATCATGCCACTGCACTCCAGCCTGGGCAACAAGAGTGAAACTCCGTCTCAAAAGAGAGAGAGAGAGGGAGAAAAGAAAGAAAGAAAGAAAGAAAGAAAGAAAGAAAGAAAGAAAGAAAGAAAGAAAGAAAGAAAGAAAGAAAGAAAGAAAGAAAGGAAGGAAGGAAGGAAGGAAGGAAGGAAGGAAGGAAGGAAGGAAGGAAGGAAGGAAGGAAGGAAGGAAGGAAGGAGAGAGAGAAAGAAAGAAAGAAAGGGAGGGAGGAAGGAAGGAAGGAAGGAGGAAGGAAGGAAAAGAAAGAAAGAATGAAAGGAAGGAAGAAAGAAAGAAAGAAAAAGAAAGAGAGAGAGAGAAAGAAAGAAAGAAAGAGAAAGAAAGAAAGAAAGAAAGAAAGAAAGAAAGAAAGAAAGAAAGAAAGAAAGAGAAAGAAAGAAAGAAAGAAAGAAAGAAAAGAAAAGAAAAGAAAAGAAAAACACTATGATGTGATAAAGCTTAACTTCCTTAGCCTGGCATCAAAGATTTTCTGTAACGTGACTGGAGTTTGCATCTCCAGCCTCCTTCCCCCACTTCCTCCTTCCCATTTGGCACACACACTCCAGCCAAAACTGAACTGTTCCTCACGCATGGAACAACCTTCCCATCTACATGTTTCAGCCCCGGATGCTGAGGCTTCTCCCGTGTGTCAAATTCTACACTGTTTCCAGGCTCAGCAACATCAGTCCTTCTGGAAGGCTTTCCAGAATCGCGGAACTGAGTCCTATGTAAGTTCATATCTAATCTCTACCCCTGACTAGCTTTTGTGAATTCTTTGAAATTTGTGAATTCTTTGAAAACATCAGCATCTGTGTCTTGCCTGTAAGTAATATGGAAGGAATTATCCTAACCCATAGCGCTGATAGGAGGACTGAGAGGGGCAAACAAGAAACATTGGCACTAACGCCATGTCTCAGGTATATCCACAATTCCTTCCTTACTTGACCTATGGTCATTTCTTCTACTTACTTACTTACTTATAGAAATGGAGAGCTATTTGGGAAAAACAATTTCAGCTAGATCTGTAGTCTAATTCTTTACATGAAAATAAATTCTAAGATGGACCAAAGTTTTAAATGTAAAAAAATGAAACAACATCTGTAACAACAAATAAATAGAAGAAAAGACAAGTGAATTTATTCATGAATTTGGAGTGGAGAAGGCCTTTCTAAACAGGGTACAGTAAAATACCCAGAAGCCAATGAATAAAAACATTGATGAGTATAGCTAATTTAAAGCATTCAATGTTTCCACAGCAAAAAAAAAAAAAAAACACAAACATAAAAATTAAATTGTATCATACCAAGAAAATAGTTTTGCAACATGTATTATGAAGGGCTAAAACTTTCTTAATTTACAAAGAGCTGTTTTACGTCATCAAAAACTGCTGAAAACTCTAATAAAAATAGGTAATTAGGTCATGTATCAAATCCACATAAATAATATGAAATGATCAATTTCACTCATGAAGAAATATAAATTGAAGCAAAGAGATACTATTTTTTTTAACCTATGGGCTGACAAAAGTTAAAAAGAAAATATCCAATGTCGATAATGGTGTAAGGACACAGGCCTTTTCACAGGCTGTTTTAGGGGATTCAAATTGGTGCTACCTTTGTTGAGTACTTAGAAATATTTACTAAAATATGAAAATGCACTTTCCTTTGATTCACCACTTCCACTGCTAAAAACTGAGCTTAGAAATAAGTTCAAGATCTGCATGGAAATAAGCTGATTGGTCTACGGCCATACCAGCCTGAACGCACCTGATCTCATCTAATCTCAGAAGAAATAAGCTAATTGCAAAATTTTTTGTAATGGGAAAAAATAAAAATAATTTAGCTACTTGTCAATAGATGATTGGTAAATGGAGTCATGACACATATAATCAATTCTATGCAGTTATTTAAAAATTATGATGTTTTCCAGGCATGATGGCAGACTTCTATAATCCCAGCAGTTTGGGAGGCCAAGGTGAGAGGATGGCTTGAGCCCAGGAGTTCAAGACCACCCTGGGCAATGTAGTGAGACTTTGTCTGTAAAAACAGAAATAAATATAAAATAAAAAGAATGACATTCGCAAGCATATTTCTAAGAAATAATAAGTGGGAAAAAAGTACAGAAGGAATATGTTTCCATTTGTATAAATTTGAAATGTATGGGTGGGAGACTGTGTAGCAATAGACACACATACATGTAAGTATTTTTCTGGAATAACACATAAGAAACTGAGAAGTGGTTACTTTTGGGAGAGAAACTGAGTGGGAGAAGAAGGGGACATGTAGACACAGAGTGATATTTTTATTTTATGCTTTTCTGAACTCTTGAAAGATTGTAATCATGTCCCTTAATTACTTTTCTTTTTTTCTTAAAGATATTATTCATTAAGTAAAGTTGATCCTCGGATTGTATGATGTGATGTGAAATCCCAAACAGAAGACACTTCCTTTACTTCTGCTCTTGCCTGCTGTCAATAATAGGAAATTTGCATTGGTTTTCCTTTGTGCCAAAGGCCTAGGAATGCAGTTCTGTTTTCATGGAATATTTTCTGGTTGCCATATTTAGATGCCAAGGAATATCTGCTACAGTGTGAGAAATCTTGCTGACTGATATTTTCCCCTGAAATTAAAGGCATGTGTACAAATTAAGGTCCACTTAACTTTGTTCAGCTCAGCAAGTACATTTGGATATTCTTAGTTCCAATCTCTTGTTTGCAGGACTCAAGGGCAGAGAGACTGTTATTTGTAAAGTGGAAGAGTGGATGATGGAGGCTGGGCATGGTGGCTCACACCTGTAATCCCAGCACTTTGGAAGGCCAAGGCGGGTGGATCACCTGAGGTTGGAAGTTCGAGACCAGCCCAGACAACATGGTGAAACCCCCGTCTCTACTAAAAATACAGAATTAGCCGGGCATGGTGGCACGTGCCTGCATGCCTCCTTCCCATTTGGCACACCCACTCCAGCCAAAACTGAGGTTGAGGCAGGAGAATCGCTTGAACCCTGGAGGCAGAGGTTGCAGTGAGTCAAGATCATGCCAGTGTACTCCAGCCTGAGTGACGGAGTGAGACTCAGTCTCAAGGAAAAAAAAAAAAAGAAAAAAAAAGAATGGATGATGGAGATATGGAAGGACAAAGAAAGAATAGAAGGATAGAGGGAGTACCTGCCTGGTCAGATAAGCGGATTCTTTCATTCCCTGGTCCTTGAGGCAACACTGTCATTTTATCGTTCAACCAGACAGATGCTGAAACTGCTCTTTCAGAAGGAGTCTCTGCCTTCTACCTTTCCAGGCTTTCTCTTGTGATATTTTCTTGGAATCTGCCTCTAAAAATCTTAAGTTGTCTCCCAAAGCCATGCCTTCACACAGCCAATGCCCAGTTTCCTTTATTCATACAACATGTCTCTAATTTCCTTTTTCTAGTACTGAGCAGTGTTTGACATGAAGTCCTGTTCTTTTGTTCCCCTTTGATTAATCTTTGGCTTGTATTATCCAGCATTTTTTTTTTTTTGATATTTTCTTTCCACAAATATATTGATGCCTTAGTGCCAGGCACTAGACCTGGGCTAGGACCTAGTCTTCAGAACTTTGTGCTTTACGTCTAAATTTTATCTGCATAACACACAGCTCATCCATTTGTGGGTCTTTGTTCTGTTTTTCAGCTAGGAGGACTGGAAAGGCACAAACCTATTTCAAATGGTCCATTTCAGCACTAAGTAAGATTTATCAATTGGTGTCATAAAAGTGCAGTTTACTATTATGTGGGAGTTCAATTTTTTTTTTTTTTTTGAGATAGAATCTCACTCTGTCACCCTGGCTGGAGTGCAGCAGCACGATATCGGCTCACTGCAACCTCCACCTCCTGGCTTCAAGCGATTCTGCCTCAGCCTCCCAAGTAGCTGGGACTACAGAGGAGCGCCACTACACCTGGCTAATTTTTGTATTTTTAGTAGAGACGGGGTTTCACCATATTGGGCAGGTTGGTCTCGATCTCCTGACCTCATGATCCACACGCCTCGGCCTCCCAAAATGCTGGGATTACAGGCGTGAGCCACTGCTCCCAGCACTAGATATTTTTTAGAATGAGGAGCTCATGTGTTGCACAATTGGAACTGTGGGTGATGGATAAAAATAAAACACATACAACTTTCACAACAGCTACTTATACTGTTACAAAGGGAATTAGCCACGGTATATGTGACCTTATGAATACTGTGAGATATTGTCAACCCCATCCTCAAAAGTGATCTAAAAATGTCACATAACATTTACCTTCAGCACTAACACCTAAACACTGGCAACACTTTTTTTTTTATTAAATGAAAACTGAAAATATTCCTTTAGATGGAGGCTACCACCACTGATACAGTCACGTTTATAAATCAATGAAATCCATTTTCTAATGCAAAAATGTGGCTCTGTGAGCTGATCGGTTGCTAAAATTTGAATGAATTTAAACTTACAAACAATGTAAAAGGTCTTAAGTCTCACTCTGGCTTAATACCCCCCAACCCCACGAGTACTCTTAGGGGTCATCCGCACAAGTACATTGGGGCTTATTGGGGCTTTCTGTCGTCACTTACGTCATATAGGTGAGAAATGTGCTAAGGGGCTCCAGGGAATGATTCCGGAAATACTCAAATTCTCCACATAGTCTTTTCCTCATCTCGGTGTCAATTTTGGAAACAGTAAGAGGATTTGTTTGATTAGCCAAAAAGTTACCATAGTCAGTAGTCTGGAGATGAATTTTCAGGTCTGAAATTAAATAAAACCCAATTCAGGTTAAATTTTGAGCATACACAAATAGCTTTTTCAACATTAGTTGAATTCATGACAATTTTATGGTACATACATATGTATTATCTTATTAGATTTTAATATGAGGTCTAAATATGATTTAAACTTGATCTCTAAAGCAACAGAAAATGTAATGTGAATATGGATAATCCAGCACACCACAAAATGTGTTTTTCTTTTGTTTTGAGAGGGAGTCTTCCTCTGTAGCCCAGGCAGGAGTACAGTGGTGCGATCTCAGCTCACTGCAACCTCTGCCTCCTGGGTTCACGCAATTCTCCTGCCTCAGTCTCCCATGTAGCTGGGACCACAGGCGCATGCCACTATGCCCAGCTAATTTTTGCATTTTTTAAAGTAGAGACAGGGTTTCACCATGTTGGCCAGGCTGGTCTTGAACTCTTGACCTCAAGTGATCTGTCCACCTCAGCCTCCCAAAGTGCTGGGATTACAGGCAGGAACCACTGTCCCTGGCCCTCACAAAATATTTCAATTACCTAAGAAGTCTGGTATTATTTAGAAGGTCTGAAAAAAAAACAAAAAACAAAAAACTAACAAACACCTAATCCACAGATAGCAAACAGGTTTTAGTCATTTGGAAATAGCTACCTGGGAAACTGTTGAGGATACTAACGCTCCATCTCAGCTTGATGGAAAAGATAAATGTATTAGTAGTAGCTACCGTGGGTGTGGGGGCAGGTGGCATGGACAGTCATCGCTGCTCTGTTTCAGTATCCTTTTATTACAGATGAAGAAATTGAAGCTCAGTGGGACTAAATGGTGGAGTTATCTAATGAGATTGAAGTAGGAGATTAGTCCCCTTATTCTTATAACCCAGCATCGTTTCCACCAGACCATGCCATGCATCCGTTAAATGTCATCCATTTTGGTTGCCAGGTAATTGGATTGAACTGAATTTCAGCTTTGTTGATTGTCACTTCCTCCTGAACAAACCTTGTGTTTTCTAGCATCCATACTTCAGTCAATGCTGACCCAACCCCACTCTAGAATTTTTTTCCCGCACCCCTTTTCAGATTGGCTTATTATGATCTACCCTTCAAGGTCTGGTTGTAACATTAAAATAATAGTTGCCAGTGATTGAGTGCTTATTAGGTACTAGGTACTGTACTGAACTTGTATTATCTCATTTAATACTCAAGGCAATTTTATGAGGTAAAAATGATTTCTATGCCTTTGTGCAGATAAGAACACTGAAGCTCAGAGAGGTTAGTAACTTGTTCAAGATCACATAGATTAAAACATTTAAAAATCTCACGTAGATAAACTGTGATTCAAAACCAGGTATACCTGACTTCAAAGTCACTTAAAACTTTATTTTATTGCCAACCAATTCAATTAGATTATCACTTGCTCTGTAAAGATTTACTTATCTCAGGCAGAATTATTCACTCTCACTCATCTGAATTTGAAAGTACTTTGATAAAACCTCTAGCATAACATCTATTATAGGATATTATATAGTCTTAAGCATGTTAACCCAGAAGGCAGTTACACTATCTTAGTTACATATTTTATCTGTGACTGCTTGTGCAGAACCCAACATGTAAGTGTTATTGCATATCTGAGTGTCTAAAATGTCCTTGGCAACATCCAGCACACATATGGAGCTTATTGGATCTGCATTCAAACATTTATTAAGCATCTATTACATGCTGCCAACTACAGGAGACCCAAAGATAAACCAGACATATTCCTCATTCCCAAGAAAACTCACTGTTTGGTAAAGGAGGAGGCAGCCACAGATGATTCAAACAATGTGTTAATTCAGTGATAAAGATAAGGTCCTTGATTTATGGGAACATAGAAAATGAGACCCAGATCCATAGCGATAGGAGCAAGAAGCCTAGGAAAGTGTCTTGAAGGAGATGAGCCTTAGAATACTGTGTTAAGAGTGGAGGAAGAGGGGAGAAAGAATAAGAATAGGGGCAGGCATTCGATGACTTAGTACAGGTGTGGTGTGTGCAAGGAGCTCAAAGCAGTTCAGTGTTGCTGAAGCATTAAGTGGGAGAGAAATAAATTGAAAATAGAACTCCCATATGATCTAGCTATTTGGATATATACTACCGGGTATATATCCAAAGGAAATGAAATCAGTATGTTGAAGAGATATCTGTACTCCTACATTCATTACAACATTGCTCACGATAGCTAAGACATAGAATCAAGCTAAGTGCCCATCAACGGATGAATGGACAAAGGAAAGGTGGTATGAATATACCATAGGATACTGCTCAACCTCCAGAAAGAAAGAAATCCTGTCATTTGTGACAACTGAGAAGTAGAGAGTAAAGTAGTGGTCATCAAAGGGCGAGGAGTTGGCCAGGAGTGGTGGCTTATGCCTGTAATCCCAGCATTTTGGGAGGCAGAGGTGGGAAGATCCCTTGAGCCCAGGGGCTCAAGGCTGCAGTGAGCTATGATCACGCCACTGTATTCTAGCCTGGGTGACAAAGCAAGATCCTGTCTCTACATTTAAAAAAAAGAAAGAAAGAAAAGAAAAAGAAAAAAAGAAAAAAAAAAGACAGTGGGGGACAGGTGAGAGGGTGAGGGATCGGAAAGATGTCAAAGGATACAAAATTCAGTTAGATTCAGTTAGACAAGAGGAATAACTTCAAGAGACCTATGGTACAAAACGGTGACTATAGTAAATAGCAATGTATTGTATTTTTAAAATCATGTAAATAGTAGATTTTGTGTTCTCCCCACAAAATTTGGTATGTGAATTAACATATATGTTAATTCACTTGATTGATAACGTATAGGTCACATTGGGCAGGCTTCCAAATGAACCTGCCTGGCAGAGTTCTTACGATGCCTATCCTGTCCTGTCCTGTCCTGTCCTATCCCAGAGTAAAGAATCTTACCGTGAGTCCCTCAAATTGTTGATGTACTGATTAATACATAACCTACTGGCACTGAAAAGGACATTGATTTGTTTCTGAATCATCAAATTTTGGTGATTAGTTTCTGCATCATGAAGTTTACTGATTGTCTTGCATGTAGACATTGTAGCCTGTATATCATCTGTAGCCAGTGATTGTAACCTCTATATTGTAACCTCCAATGAAAAGAACAACGGTAGTATGAAGAGTCCTCCTCTGTTCTTCTAAACTTTCCCTTAAAAGTCTTCCAACTCACAGCAGACTCTGGGACACACCCAGCTTTGTTGGTGTGTCTTCCTTGATCAGTCCTCACACTTGGCTTCCAATAAACCTTTGTTGAACTCTTTCTGCCTTAACAGACTTAATTTCGGTTGATACAACAATTAATACATATATTAAAACAACGTAGGCTGGGCGTGTGGCTCACACCTGTAATCTCAGCACTTTGGAAGGCTGAGGCGGGTGTATCACTTGAGATCAGGAATTCCATCCAGATCAGCCTGGCCAACATGGTGAAACCCCATCTCTACTAAAAATACAAAAATTAGTTGGGTGTGGTGGTGTGCGCCTGTAATCCCAGCTACTCAGGAGGCTGAGGCATGAGAATTGCTTGAAGCTGAGAGGCAGAAGTTGCAGTGGGCTGAGATTGCACCACTGCACTCCAGTCTGGGCAAAGGAATGAGAGACTGTCTCAAAAAATATAAAATAAAATAAAACATCATGTTGCATATGATAAATATATGCATTTTTTATGTGTCCATTTCAAAGGAGCGGTAGAGAAGGGCAGGTAAGAATTGAAGCCAAAGAAATAAGCAGGACTGTCCTAAGGAGGGTTTGGTATGCCATGTTTATCCGGAGATAACAGGAAGCCACTACTGCAGGCTGTGAATTGACTGCTCTGGTAGCTGGGGGAGGGTGGATCTGCAATTAGGGACAATGTGGTTCTTGCAGTCTTCCTCAGTGTCTGGAGTAGATTTTGTGTCAGAAATGCTGTTTATCTGATGGCAGAATTTATTTGCTCAATTACCTATTTAATTAACTTAAAACAATTCTACTTTGTTGCCATGCCTTATTTGACTTTCATTTTGGCATTTCAGATTTTTATGCAATTTGACAGTTTGAATCCTCAGCACCAAGGAATATTTGCCAACAGAAGTGACACAAATGGTATTTCTTTCAAAACCATGATATTTTGCTCATGTGACATATGTTTCTTTCAAGCTAAATAACTTTCAAACCTTTCGGCTGCCAGGGACATCCTGAAATTAAATGTCTCAGTGTTTCAGACCCTATAGGAATCTTACAATACTGTAATCAGTGAAAAGGCAAATGGAATAGAAGGAACCTCTCTTTCCCAGCACGAAAATGATCCAAGGGATGCTTGCTTTCAGATTCTAAGAGAATCTTAGGGTCTGAAATGCACTCTGGGATGATGATAGACTGTCAATAATAACAACAATACTCACAGTTTTATAGTTTTCAAAATGAGTTCACTTAATTTTTGTTCCTGCATTTCCCTAAATGCTTATCTAAACAGGTATGTGAGTAATAAGAGTTTGTGGTAAAATAAATTTGGAAGGCACGAGCTTCTTTACTGTAGGAGTTGAAAGCCTTTACTACATGAAAGTGATTTCTTCGAAAAGAGTATGGGACAGAACCTCCCAAGCCACTAAAAAACAATGGGCTGCCCACAGAGCACACTTGGGAAAATTACACTACTTTTTATCTAGAAAGGTAGCATGGCAAATGGTGTTTTTTCCTTTTTATTAAAATAAGGAAAAAAGAATGTATTCCAAACTGTAGGATCACCACCAACTAAATCAATTTAATAGGTGTCACACAGCAATAGAATTTAAAAAACTAGATTATACCATTTTAACAAATAGAGTCTATACATAGTGTGAATGTGTGCCTGCATGTATGCACTCAGTCATAATATAAACATGCGTTTTGTGTGGGTTGCAGTCACTGTGTGAAGGGAATTATCTGAGATCACTTGGCTAGCGAATGAGTCAGGATAGGGAAGTTAGACTTCATGATTATTGTCTACTAATTTGTTGGCAG